GCAAAAAACATTGTTATACTTTTTGGTAAATACGAATTAGGTCACATGAGAAGTTACATATAATTGCCAACAGGTGGTGTAATACATATTTCTATAAAAACTCACAAGTGATTAATATTATTTTTTTTATATAAGTATTCCATAACTTTTATTTTACAATTGCACATTTGTTTTGATTATTTTTTCATTGGAACGAAAAATGTAAATAACTTTTCAATGTCAATCCAGGCATCAGAAATGTTCTAACATGCGATAAAAAGACATCAAATATGATAGCACCATTTTCAAAATCTAAAAAATTATTCAAAGATTTGAAATTTCCACTGCAAACTTATAAAATTAATCGATTTATTTCAAATAGCTTACAGTGGCCGAAGTTTCAAAATTCATTGGAATCGTAGGACCAGCTGTCAGCGTACAGTATTTCGCAGTTCGGATCATCATGCCAAGAAGCAATCGTCTCTCTTTCGATGAAAATGTTTGCCAATGAGCGTCGTAACTAAAAAGGTTTTGCAAATATAATTTTTTTACATTGTTTCGTGGTTAATTATATCGTCTAATTACCAGTCTCTATTCAATTGTTCGCTGGCGTTTATCATATCTTGGGTTGTGTAAATTACAAACAATAGAGTAAAAATTGCAGATTGCATACAAAATAACATTTTGAAGGCGTACAATTTATCGTAGGGTAATACAACAACAAACTAAAAAATAGCAATTTCGAGTTTTTTTAACAAGAAAAAGAAACGTTAAATTTAAAATTTCTAATAATTATTCATTGTGGTTATTAATCAAGCTTACCCAGAATCCAGCAAAACTTAGTTCCAAAGTTATCAGTGTTAATGTCAATAAATATATCATTTTTATAAAATTTTGAAACAAATCAAACAACCTGAAATTATTTAGTTGGATTCAACACGATAAAAGCTTTCTGTCTGTTTTCAGATTCAAAATATTTCACCGTTGTAAATAAACATAAAATCACTTAACTTTAATATCTCTTGGTGCTGACGAATAGTCTGGCAAATTCTTTTATTAATTAAATTAATATTTCGTCCATTTATCGAAGGTTCAATCCTTGAATCTAATTCATTGTGTATCGATAACATATTATTTCTAATATAAAAATAATGTTAATTATAAAAATGTATGGTAAATGGGCACCGACTAGATACTCTTAAATTTATATTTTAGGTTCTTGATTACCCTATGATTGATAACATTCCAACAATGAACTTAATCGTGACAAATTGAAAGTAATTCAATAAACTGACCACGCTGATCAATATAAAAACTACCATCAAGACGAAACAAAAAATCGCCCAATAATACTTCTCCAAGATGTTAGAGAAATAAAATGGAACACATAAGCTTCTTTCATTTGAATTATTGGCTGATATCCAATTTGTTAGTGAATATTTAAAAATTGGTCCTGTAGCGTATCCCAAGAAAACAATTGTTGATATACCTGTGAATAAATTTAGTAGTTTATCTTTGTCACAGGAAGCCAATTTTTTTACAAAATTTAATTAAGTTTCTCGATCTCAAATTATTATTTTCACCGTTGTTCTCAAATTATTATGTTTGGTTGGAGTTGAAGTAAATAAATAGTATATTATGCAAGAAATCATATACGCGCACCTTATTAAAAAACTGATTCAACGTTTTTTAAAATAATTTAAAAAAAATGTTTTCTCAAAGAAAATATCGAAGGTAGCCTTAAGTGAAATTTGTAACCTGTCGAATATTTCAGAAACTAGTATAGAAAATTTGATTTTTACGTTGGCTCAATTAAAAATAAGTTTATAGACTTGATCGGATTATCACAAACCAAAATATAGAATAGATATGATGAAACCAGTTTTTGCGTGTTCCAGGATAATTTTTTTCTCAGTGCGAGTTCGGCATTTTTTCCACAAATTTTCAAGTTGAATCAAAATAGCCATAGCCTATGAGAGAAATTAAAGTTAATTAGAAAATAGTTATTGATGCATTTGCAAGACCTAAATTTTGAGCTCTAATTTTACAAAAAAGACACTGGGAAACACTATATGGAAAATGCTTAGCCTGTGATGCATACAAAATTTGCCAAAGGGAGCGTTATTTACGAGTGTAACTCCTATATGTTATTTTGCTTACTAATGAGTAAAAAAGTTCAATGCACTTATAGCATTAAAAATTTTGAATGAGCATAAGTGATTTGGATATATACCATTTTTGATCGATTGATGGTAGATATATAAATCATTGTAAAACCAGTAACGAAAAAAAACAAGTACAATGAATCAAATATATCATTACTCTTCACATTTTCTTTATTCACTCCAAATACAAGTGCCTAAAATGAAACGATAACATTTTATTCATTTTGGATAAAAGAAATAACTTCATGAAAATGAACAAGAGGTATTTTTTCTCCTCTTAGGTAATAAACAGAATAGCTATGTTTAAATGTAATATTTGTGCAAAAATTTACCAGATTTAAATCAAATAAACCTAACGCGGTAAATATTATTATTCTCCCGAACAGTTGGATACTCTTATTCATGTCAGGAGAAATGAAAATCCATCGAAAAAATTTGAGATTATAATGCACAGAGGCTGAAGGCGAATAATTTTTTTCGGAAATCAAATGTTTAATAAAGCGACTCATATTGAGCTAATAAAATTAATTCAACTTAACGTAACTATGAATTAAATCTTTGAATTTTTATTGTTCCAAAGCATTTACTCAAAAATAAAAAAGTAACCGAATTTAACAACTCTATATGCTTTGAGATAAAATATCACTTTCACAAAAATTTCAATTTGTAGAAAATAATTTTATGAATCAAAGCAGAATAGTTTATTACTTTAATTTTCAGATGCGTGCATGAATTCTCATTGTCATAATGACAATAGGCGAAAAATAGTCGTTAAAACGGAATTTAATATTCCCTTTAAATACGTAATTTTATGCTCAAAGGTACATGACGACCCAGGTGACATTACTTAACGGACAATTATTTTTTATTAAATGCTATTTTCGACCTTTCGACCTAGAGCAGGACAAAGATTATTGCAAAATATCTGAAGACGTTTCTGAAGACATTAAGGAATGATAAAACTCGTTTGATGCTCCAAAATGAGCTAGGAAGCTTCAATCGAACTTTTGAAACGGTCAAAATTTATTAAAATTTGACAAGAAATTCAAAAAAAATATTTTCAAATTTTTTTACCGGAACCATCGGGTTCTAGGAACCATTTTTTGTTAAAAATAGCATTTTTCGGCCCTAGAAGTTATCGCCTTCAATTAAAAAATCTGTAAAATTTTGAGATTACGTATTTTGATGAAAAAAACAAGAAAAAATTTTTTTTAGATTTTTCGAGGCTCCGTAATGTCCTAAAAAAATTATTTTCGTCAAAAAAATCGGTTTTTGGCTTCAAAAGGTGCGTTAGGTAATCTGAAAAAATCTGAAAAAAATTGAGGTTATGTTTTTTAATGCGAAAAATAACTGAAAAAATTTCCGAGTACTACATCGGCTCATACCGCCGTATCTAGATTTTTGAAATTTTCAATGATTTTATCTGAAGGCCTGAAGCACTCAAAAAATCTGAAAAAATTCAAGGTTGTTTGGATTGTGGAAAAGTATTTTTATGAATTTTTTCAGATTTTTTACTTGCTTCATGTCCTCAGAAAAAATATAGATCGAAAATGGACGTTTATACCGGAAGTGGGGGGTAGGAGAGGGGAGGGGGTCTAAAAATTTTTTTTTGGGACCTTTTTGCCATGTACTATAACATACCAAAAGCGCGTCAAGATCGGTGACATACGTGAGCACGGTTTTGTAAGAAAGTATTATTTTGACCCATATAAATATGGACACGTTGAAACATACGTGTTGATAGTATTCATTATCACGACTTCTTCAAATAAGTGAATTCTTTTATGAAATAATATCACGGTGATTGCACACTTTCGGGTAAGCACTATTTTGGAGACGGCAAATATTAATACTTCATATGTTTCATTCATTGATTTTTACATACAATGCTGTGAGCATTGTGGGGTGTAAAAAATAATCAGAAATTTTTACACTGCAATAAAAGTGAATTAATTTGGGTTATTATCACCGCTGAATAAGCACTCTTAAAACTTAATTGTAGTGTCATGATTACCCTATTACTGAAAACATTCGTACAAGGAATTCTATCGTGAACACTTGAAAATAATTTAATAAACTGACAGTAACAATCAATATAAAAGCCATTATCAATATAAAACAAAAAACTATCCAATAATGATTTTCTAAGATGATCGCAGAGTAAATGGGGACACATAAGCTTCTTTTCACTGAATTATTTGTGGATATCCAATTTATTAGTGAAAATTTAAAAATTGGTTCTATAACAAACCCCACGAAAACAATTGTTATTAAGCCTACAAAAAGGTATAGTTATTCGTTTTTATGTTTCAGGCAATGATAGTTTTTTGATAACTCAGTACATCAACCACAGGAAAATAAATATTTTGAACAAGATTTCATTAGACAAATCGGTTGACAGATCTGTAAAAATTTAAACACACCGAGGTAAAGTAAAGGACATGATGAAACTGATTTTGGCATTTTCCAAGATAATTTTTTTCTCAGCGCTAGTTTTGAATTTTCTCCACATAAGTTCAGTTGAATCAAAGTTGCTGTAACCTAAGGTAGAATGTTCCCTTGATTAAAAAATGGCTTTATAATTTCTCCCCTAGTCATCACAAAAAAATATACGTCAACAACACTATACAAAAAATGCTCAAGTAAAACATGAGGGACTAAACTCATAGCGGTTTTATTATTATTACTATTTTTCTATTTTTATTAGAATCTTAAACGATATTCAATAATTGGTAATTATAAAAGAGTCACCATTACACTGATAAGTTTTTGGCTTACGAAATTAACAATACAGATTAAATAATAAATTGTATTTTTATCATTAAATCAAAAATTCAATCAAGGGAATCGTGTAGATTAATTTTTATTAGCAATGAGGAAAATCGGCAAAGTTATAAGGGCTGACATTCGTGGACGTTGAAACAATCGTATGATCAATGTTGTGGTTGAGAATCTTGTCTATGAACTCCGCATGAGCTGAAACTCTGGTGTATCTAGCGTAACTTCCACAGACGGGACTGCTGTAGCTGCTCGCTACGCCAACCAGGGTATGGGGGTTGGTCGATTCATCAACCAATGGACTGCCGTCGTCTCTCTGAAAAATTTTCACGATTTTCATGTCAATGCGTGACGACGTTTTTCAGAAATAAAAAAAAAATATGTCAAACTTACGTAACAGGGACCCTGCAGATGACCTTGGTCAATGTGGTCGGTGCCTTGGACGCAGATCTGCGCCAACGGGCAGGGCTCCGAACCTTGGGGCACGGAGTTGCCACGAGCCGGGGCCCATTTCAGATAGGGACTGGCCGGCTCCGAATCGACGTGTCCGGGTTTTCTTTTCTGCTTGGAAACGCCAAAGCCGAGCATGGTGGCGTCGAAAGGTGATGCCGGTGGGTATGAGAATCGCTGCGCCACTTGAGCTCTACCTAGTCCACTGGCTCCGAGTGGGAATGGTTTTGCCAACTGCAAAATGAAATGTATAAAGTATGAACGAGCATTTAAGAAAAAAATACAACAATTATAAGATTTAAATATACCTTTAACACTGCAATGTCGTGAACCGATTGACCATGTTTGTACGAGTTCGGTATCCATATCTTAACGACCGGCTGCTGATGTCCGCTCTCCTTGTCCTCGAGATTCGTCGTTCCGGCCACGGCGACGATGGGCTCGCGAATGAAATCGCGATTGGGGCCGGGTCGCGTCACGCAGTGCGCCGCCGTCACGACGTACACCCCGGTGACGAGGGTGCCGCCGCAGAAGCTCACCGTGCAACGGTCGGCGCTCTGCAGAATCTGCAGGGACACGTGATACTTGAATCGGCCCTCCTCGGCGAATCTGCTGCCGACCATTCTAGGCTTTCTTCCATTTGCCCGGCCTGCGATGAGACACAAGCCGAGGAAGAGGCACAGGATCGAGCGGGTCTTCATGTTTGATGCGGAGATGGAGAAACTAGACTGGTTTTTAAGTTGGTAAGTTATTTTCGAGACTTCTTTTGTTCTTACTGACGATTTTCGACGTTTATGAAATTTTACAGCATGACATTGGCTTAGCAATACTTATATTTTTTAATGAGACACGACAATTTTGCGTGTTTTTTTATCGAAGTGACGTCGAAGCTATAAATGTAATAATGAACACATTATATACTTACTTACTCTCGTTGAAATTATAGATTTATTTTAAAAATATTTAAAAATGTTTTTTCTAATCTTGATAGTCAAGCTCGATGTCCGTGCTATTTAAAAAGACCAAAAATATTTTAAATTTATGCTCACATTTACACTTCTTAGTTATAGACAAACGTCTGCAAGTCCTCGACCCGACGCGTTCGCCAAAACAAACGACAATGAATCTTGACTAGATTTTGAATAAAAAATGTACGAGTATAGCCAAGAGCGGTTCGGACAACGATTAACTAGACATCTCGGTTCAAGGTCCTCTTGGATTTTCGCATTTTTTTTGCCAGAGTGGGGAAGTTGGTCTATTCGGTCATTCACCGCGCTCGCAGTACGTCTAACGTTTTTCTATTCATTGTTTGATCTATTCATTCGAACGCAACATCAAGAAGCTACATACATCTATTAGCTCTACAAATGGTGAAAGCGTATTTCAATAATATATATATCGTTTTCATCGTACATTGGGAGCGCGTTGCCAAGCCGTATCTCATTTCAGTATAATTTGTAAGTTTCTATCGAGTGGGAGAGGTTTAGTCGATTTGTTATTAAATGGTCTCAATTCAAACGAAAGATTCGTGCATTACGCAACGGTTTTTAGATTAGTTAATAATACAAGTAGAAGTGTTTTTTAGCATTGTCATTTTTAATATTTATTATAACTTTTTTAATAAAAAAATGAAGAAATTCTTAACACATAGAAGTAGCATAATAACCAAAAAATGACAATAACAAATGTTTTTAAATAAATCGCGCTATTGGCATGTTTCAGGGATTTTACTGCTACGGTTATAATACAAATATCAAGTGAATTTTAAATAATCAGAAAAAATAATTTCAATTGTCTATTTTAAAAAATTTCGACTCGTTTTCAATTATTTGAAATCTCTACTACTAGAGGGCGAGTACCTTCATTTATAAACCTGCAAGTGGCAAAGTGCAGACAATTGTATACATCAAAGCATAGTTTTCGATTAATTTGAAATTGTATATATTGCCAACAGGTGGCGTGTACATAAATATTTAGAAACTCACAAGTGATTAACATTACATTCTTATATAAGTGTTTTGATATTAGTAAGTAACCTGTAATCATCGCAATTTTTGCCCAGGAATTTATCCTCAAAGATTCAGTCCCTAAAGTGTCCTTAGGATCCCACAAACGATGCGCATTGCTTCTTTCCAAAAGTTTGAAAATATCATTCATCTCGAGTTGTTGCAAGCACAAACTTCGCGCATACAAATTATGAAATATGTCTTCGATCGTCCATTTTAACATGATTGAAATTTATATATGTTTTTTTCTTGTTCAAGAAAATATTCAGCAGCGGGGGTAATGGACGAAAAATGACGAAGAGACGGCGCCGCGCGTTTGGTAGAAACAAAAGAATCAGAGACGAGATGGAATAATCCTACGTCCGCCAAAAATGTAACGCACGCGTCGTCTACGATAGATGGCAAAAATTCACACGAATGGATTCACGAGCACATGCACACATCGCGAGAGAGATAGACAAAAAAGCTCGCTGGCGCTGCACACACACACTCGTGTGGGTGTATATTATTTATGGAAAAAAAGCAAAGATTCGTGATGCACAATATTACACACGTACACACATACACACACAAATAGACAGGGTGGCGGTGGCGATGGTGAAACGAAGCGAATACGTGCTAGAAAAAAAATGAGAGCGAGGTGGGTACAGAAAAGAATGAAGAATGCGAAAGTCGAAGAGTAATGGTGGAAAATAGAGAATCGCAGATACAGCGGCATCTGCCCAGCTCTCACACCCTCTCACGCCAACGAGCTGCCGCTACTATTACTGGTACGTATATAGCACGTACGTAGGTGGCAGCGAAAGAAGCATCAGCGAAAAGAGAGAGAGAGAAAGAAGCAAAAGGGTAATAAAAAAATTGAGAACAGAGAAAGAGCCGTATCAGGCGTTGAAAAAAAGAATCAACGTAAAAACAACAACAACGACAACCGAGAGAGCAGCAGCAGCAGCAGCCCCGGAGCTTATATTCGTGGATAAATTCGGGGGAAAGGGTATTTATATATATATAGGAGCCCCAGCCTGGTGAGCGAGAGAAAGAAGAGCGAAGATAGGGTGACATGCAGCTAATCAGAAAATGTAGGAGTGCCCCGGCACAGGAGAGCGGAGCGGCGGTGTACTGCGAGAGAAAGAGAGACTAATAGAGAGTGAAAAGGCATCAAATAAACAAACAGCAGCAGCGGCGGCGGCAGTGTGCGGGTGTCGACGAGGTGTATATCTCTTCGCTGTGTAAGTGTGTATGGGTGTGTATATACATCGAGAGGGGTAAAGAAACACAGTTAGAGAGAGGATGGCTTTCGGGAAAATCGCGAGAGATAGGGGGCTATTACTACGCTATACCGCTCGGTCGGGCGCGCGCGCGGGGGGGTCGCTGCTGCTGCTGGAGAGCTACAGAGCACCGCCCCGGCTATTAGAGGGTCGTTTCTCGCTTGCTGCCCTCAGCTGCTGCGTCTCTCTCCCTCCCTCCCACCCCGCTATATAGATATATAGAGCTTGGGCTCGCTGCCTGCCTGCGCGCCTCTAAACATCCACTCGCTCGGTATCTCGCCTTTTATATGCTGCTGCCTCGTTGTGTGTGTGTTTGTATCTCTCTACTGGATGCTACTCGCGTTCGTCGTCATCGTCGTCGTCGTTCAGAGAGTCTCTCGCTTTTACAACGCGGATATTCGAGGCAGCAACAACAGGCAGTAGCAGCAACCCTATGTTTTGTCCCTAGGCTCGTTTAGAGCCCGAGGTTGCAGCAGCAGAAGCTCGCTCTCATTCCATCGTTCTCGCGGGGATGCACACGTACACATATAACAGATACACACACGCACATGGCTCCATTCTCTCGTTCTCGCTTTCGACTCGTCGCTCTGCTACTGTATTCGACGCTCTCTCTCGCATTGTGGCTTTTCCTTGCGTGATCTCTCTGCGGTGTTTCCGGCAACACTTGCGCCCCTGTACATACTATATATATACGTATATATCTCTGCTGCCGCCTGCACACATGCCCGTGTGCGTTCATTAATACTTTGATGGCTCGTGGTCAAATTTTCGATCGCCGCGCACGCTCGAAATTTAGGGAATTAATCCATATATACCTTCTCTTCGTCCCTAATTCCTTCCATCGTAGGCGGTAACTGCATAATTGACTCGAAGCTCTTGCGAGGATTATAAAAATTCACGAGCTAGCTGTATCTCGGCTAAAAGCTCGCGTAGTCGTCGTCGTCGCTTGTCTCGCCATTAAAAATTCCCCATCCTACCACCTTGCCTATATAGCAGCTTCGGCATCTCAGAGAGTATGTGTAAGGGTATATATTGCACCTATAGTAGCGCGAGCATATTATCCATACCACTATATATAGTTGGGTTTTAAACAAGCTTTCCTCGACCGAGCTTGACACTTAGCTGTTCTCTGTGTGTATATAAGTTGTACCTTAAACAAAAAGCAGCATACGCACGTACTTGAAAGACGTAAGTATATACACAGGTGTATATCTACGCGCGTGTGTGTGTGTGTGCGTTCAGCTAGCTCGTGGATCGCGCGCGCAAGTGAGAGAGAGTGAGGATTCATAGCGGAGCACAGCCCTGAAGGACTTGCTGGTTGCCATGGGTTACCTGCAGCAGCAGCAGCACCCCGTGTGTCGAAAGGGGGCGCAAGAGAGCGAGCGAGGCGATATAGGGGAAATACACTGGCTCCTGCTCCGCTGCTGTTGCCTTTAATAGCGTATCTTGCCTCTCTCGCGAGCGACGAGCTCCTATATAGATATAACATGGAAACGCCGTCGGGGCTCTCTCTCTCTCTCTCTCGCGTCGGGATCATCCATTCCCGCCCATATGTCTCTCTCTCTCTCTCTTTATATACGTCTCTGTATATACAGCATCGTCGTCGTCGTCGTCGGTGATGGAGGAAGACGTGTGCAATGCGGACACTGGATTGGGTGGCAATTCAGCGGTCGTCTTTTTGCGCCCCTTGTAGCTCTCTCTACTACTACCTATATCTATCTCTCGGGCTATGCCGTACGTTACGTTTATACCATATAAACACCCATACATACATACAAGCTTTTCTTTATCAGCTACCTACGCGCCGAGCTATGTACTACTACTGGTACTACTTCCAACCCTACGCAGTACGTTGTAACCTTTGACATTTGTAGATGGGTACATTATACTTTAGCGCAATTTACTTCGACTCTTTTTTCCACTTATATAATATACTCCCCTGGCGCGCCTATTTATTATATCGCCGCGCGCGCGTGCGCTTCGGTTAATTACTTTTACCTTTTTTTTCTTTATTCATTCGTATAACGGGTATCGACCGATGAGTGCACGCATCCTGTGACTTTTTCTTTTGACTTTCGTGCCTTTCTTTTTTTTTTTTTATTTATTCATCGAAAGCTCGAAACCGTTGGAAACTAAAATAGGCATAACGCATCAGAGAGAAACGAGCGAGGGTAGAAAGAGAGGTGAGAGTTATAACAGCGAGAGAGAGAGAAAAAAAGAGATAAACTGAGGAGAGAAGCAGAGCAGTCAGACCGTGAAATGCGTACGTGCTGGGAAATGATCAATTCGTACAAGAAAGAAAAAGGGGGAAAAAAGCATATGAATGTACGGAAGGGGGAGGAATCGAAATAATCAAAGCGAGGAAATGGCTATCGGTCGAAAAGTCCCGCGTACCTATACATATAAATATTCCACGTTGATCGCACGTGCATACATATCCGATGCAAGACGAGCTATGTATATAGAGTG